CCCAGCCCAGGCCAGCCATTAGCCCTCCCCGACCCCACCTTCTCCCCGTGACCCCCCCCGCTGGTGGCTTGTCCCCATGAGCACCCCTAATCCCAACTCTGGGGGCAACAGGAGAGCTGGGTTTGGGTTCCTGGAGCAACTGGAGCCTCCAAAGCCCCCAAAATCCTGCTTCCCCCCGCCCCCCACTGCCTGAAGCTCTCCCCTGGACCCACCACCACCTCCAGCAGGACTCCAAGCATCCCCACCCCTCCAACCCACAGCAGGAACCTGGAGAACGTCCCCGTGGACACCTTCCCATGGCCACCACCCCTTGTCCTCACTTGGCCAGCTCTGTCCCCACCCCTTCCCAGCAGCCCCAGGGGTGGTTGAGGTGTTGGAGGCCCCTCCACCTCCCCAGTGCTGGTCAAGGGATGCGTCTCTGTGTCCTGTACCCATCATCGGTGGCCTTCACCCCACCTTGTCCCTCTTGGCTTTTCTCACGTCATTAAACGCTCAAGGACCCGTCTTGGTGTCGTGTCCTTCCTGAAACGGTGGTGGAGGGGACCAATCCCCTGTCATGGGTGCGACCGGACCTTCTGGGGGCCACCATGGAGCTCAAGGGGCTTCCAGAGAGGTGGCGTTGGAGGAGCTGGAGGCCTGAGCTTCCCCACGCTGGTCTCCACAGGTGGCCAAGGCCAAGAAAGACCAGGGCCACCTCGCCTGGAGCTGCCCCCAGTGCTCCCAGTGTACACCAGTGTCCCCAAGGGTTTGACCCACGTGGTGACAATCTTCCCTCCATCTTCCTAGGGAAGGAGGTCCGTGCCCAAACCTCCATCCTCTCCACACCCTGCAGGTATTTCTAGACATTGATGAGACCCACCCTTGGTGTCTTCTCCAGGCTGGACCATCCCAGTGCCCTCAGCCTCTCCCCGTAGGAGATGGTCCAGTCACTCCACCATCTTGGTGGCCCTTCTCCAAGTTTGGTTTAAAGCTCTCCTTCAGTCGCGCCACCACCACTTGGTGAGGTGAATCCCATCAGCTCCCAAGAGCTTCTCAAAGGTAGATCCATGATCATGGAAGCCCAAACCAGTCCCTGGAGTCTCTCCAGTACGCCCCTGTCCCTCTTGTACTGGGAAACCCAGCACTGGACACAGCCCTCCAGGTGTGGCCTCACCAGAAAAGAGGAGAAGGACCACCTCCCTCCCCCATGAGCCACCTCTGCGGCAACGGTTCGTGGTCAACTTGGTGTCCACCAGGACCTTTTCTACCCAACTGCTTTCCAGCCAGGTGTCCCATCACCTCGTCCCCGTGTCCCATCACCACGTCCCCATGTCCCACCACCTCATCCCTATGTCCCGGTCCTGGCAGTTGTCCCTCCCCAAGGACAGGACTTGGCACTTCCCTTGGTAGAACCCCATGAGATTCCTGTTGAGGTTCCTCTGGGTGGCAGCAGGAGCCTCCGGTGCTTCACCCGCTCCTCCCAGTTGGGTGTCACCTGCAAATTTGCAGATGTTCGGCCAGTTGACGACCCACCTCACCGCTCAGCCAACCCCCACCCCACCAGCTTCTCTAGGACGACCTTAGGGGAGACCTGAACTCCAGGTGGACAATGTCCACCCCTCTCCCCCCGCCTCTGCTAGGCCGGTCGTTGCATCGTAGATGTTTATCACGTTGGTCAAGCGTAACTTCTCCTTGGTGAAGCCACGCTGACCCCACCTCATGATTTCATCAGCCTTCGCGTGCCTGGAGACGGTCACCAGGATTCGTTCTTCCTCCCACCTTCTTGGGGGGAGGGGGGGACACGACGTCCCCGCTGGCCCCACAACCGCCGCTCCACCAGTTGTGGAGTTGAGGAGGTGGTGGAGTTGAGGCAGGAGATGGAGGAGGTCCTGGGGGAAGCAGGAGGAGCTCCTGGACCACAAGGAAATTCTCCCCTCCCATGGACCCACGGCCATCGCTTGGTCAACAGCCCCACGGCCACTGCTTGCCCAACAGCCCCATGGCCACCGCTTGGCCAACAGCCCCATGGCCGCCGCTTGGCCAACAGCCCCTCGACCACATCCGTTGAGGTTAGATAAAGCCGTATGCCGGCCGGTAACGGTCATCTGATAACACCTTCTCTTGAGAAGGAAGGACCCACCACCCACCCGGCTTGTGCAACGGCCAACGGGGTGGTGATGGGGGGTTGCGACACGGAAACCACCCCAAAACGTCAAGATTCCACCCCAAAAAGCTCCTCCCCGCCTTCGGGTGGGTCACTTTTTGGAAGGCATCTCTGGGAGGTGGTGGGGTTGACCTCGCTGGAGCTCACCATGGCCGTCTACAAGGTGAAGGTGACCACGGGCGACACGGTGGAAGCCGGGACCATCTGCAACTCCATCTCCATCACCTTGGTGGGCACTCGGGGGGAGAGACCCCGGACCACCATCAACTGCGTCCTCCTGCCG